CCCCCCCTTCCTGAGGAGCCGGTATCCACGATGGCCCCATGAGCCGCAAATACCGGCCACAGCGTCCCGCCGCTGCCATGGAGACCATGACGCTGCATACGCCACTCCCCCCGCACGGCGTCCCGAAGCGGCCATGCCAACCATGACACGCGGACGCCGGCGCATGCGCAGAGGCAATCAGGGAGAATACGGAACACAGCCCTGCTCACTCATTTGTTTAACCCAGCATGAGACCCCCGACCTACAGGAAGGAAACGACAGAAGTCTATTCTGTATAGGAATTGCCTGCACCACTGGCACCCCTCATCTAGGAGATTTACTGCCAAACAGAGGGGTCATCCAGCCGGGAGAGGCTGAACCCGGATGGGACCGTAGGGAGGAATTGCAGAGAAGAACTTCGTGGCCTGGAGCGAGGACAAAAAGAGAGCAGGTGTCTAAGGGGGGGTCGGGCCTTTATTCACTTGAGAAGGTGGTCCTGTGGGGTCAGAGGGGCGGAGCTGACCCATCATGCTGACATGAGGTGAGCCAGGAAATATTTGATACGTTTTCTATTGTGAATAAAATATGGGTTTATGAGATTTGCAGATTTTAGACCACGTCCCAACTTTTTGGGAATCTGGGTTGTAGGAGGCGGTATAATCCAACAGTTTCAATTCCTTTTGTCCCTCAATGGTCTACAAGAAATAGATTTTATGGTAAGTACAATAAAAGTCCCATTTTCTTGGGGCAATCTCCTTTATGTGTGGACGGCGATTTTATGCAGACTCCTCAGTTTAACTTTAAGTGCCACACACTGTTTGTATCTGGCATACGTAATTACACCTTATGCTCTCTGGTTGACACTGTAATCTTATTCAGTGATCTGGATTAGGTGGCCATTTTTGAGCTGGGTCAATTAGCAGGGCCCTGCATCTAGCGTTCCTTTTACATCTTTTAATCAGAAGTGTTTTCTTTTACACTCTTATACATTTTATATTAAAGTACATGCAATGACGTTCAGATCATTTCCTATATTGTTTTTCTTGCTAATTTCCTACAGAGGATCCTATAAACTTATGGTTTGTTTTTTTCCCTATACGGAAGTCAAAACCTGACAGAAATTTTAACTTTGGCCTGGTATTTCCAAAATAAATTGGACTGAAGTTAGGCTTTGCACAAAAAGATAATGTATTGTTATTGTAATAATGTATTGTCATTGTGCAGGTACAAGGCGCTGACAGGAGTGCTGACCATGAAGAAGCCGAGGAATACAATCCAGACACTGCCTATGGTAAGTGCCAGGACTGTTCAGCCTGTGTCGTCAGTCTGTTGGGTGCCAATGTGGCAGGATTGAAGTTCCAGACCAAGTCCAGTAGTCAGGAGAGGCTTAACACCATCAGCATTGCTTTCTTCCTTCTCTGCTTTTCAGTTGCATTGAGTTTGTCCATTATTGTCTGTCTGTTTCCTTCTGGATCTCTTCTCTTGTCACTACACGTGTAGAAAAGTCTGCTCATGTATTCCATGTTGTCTGTGAAACATTCATCCATCCAATTTTTTTCTCTGTTCTTTATTTTATGTTTCCCTTTTTGATATCCATTCTGTGATTTGCCCTCCCGTTTCACAGGCCTGGATTATATGGTCCCCGTCGAGGGTTATCTCTGCAGGCTGTGTCACAAATTCTATCCTAGTGACTCTGCTGCCCGGCTCACACACTGCAAGTCCTTGGTGCATTTTCAGAACATCCAGGTTAGACCCTTCTCCTCCTATTGCATGACCTGGCTTCTGTTTTGTTTGACATGACCACTCTCTGCGTTTCCACTGTCACTTGATCACCCTACCTGGTGTCCTTAGCTATGACTGTGATTTCATCCATCCTTACTTATTTCCTGGTCATCTGTCCTTCTGGCTTACCTCCCTAACATCCTGCAGCATCTGCTCCCTGAATTAATAGCTTTTTGTTCAAACTGTGAAGCCAGATGTTACCTAGAATAAGAGTCTTCTCCACATCTCTTGATCCTGGCAAGTAGATCAAATACAGCACAAATCCAATCCTTTATTGAAAGCACAGAATAATTGTATTTGGACTGCCAATGCTTGGAAAGCTCTGAAAGGCTTAAAGTTGAAGTTAAGAAAAAATGAATACTTAAATCGCCAGTTTCTGTTAGTACCAGGAGTTTATCCCAGGCGTTTGACTGTATAGTCCTGGATAATATCACTTAACTTCCATCACAATAATATTTTTATATGAATTGCCTACCTGGTAGGTTCCTAATGAAACTTACTGGAATAAATTGTTATGGGTTACCATACCTGGACTCTGTGTTTAATACATAGTATTCATTGAGAACATCAAGAATGGTTGAATAATTGGAGGGAAAATGTGTTGCTTAAAGCTGTGATTTTTCGAGGGAGAAGTTAGAGATCTGAATGGTAAATATAGTTGCCTTAAGCTTATTCTTCTCTCACAATTGAGCTGGAATATAAGCATACATTGAAATTGCACACTAATAACGGTTCATTCAAACACAGCCCACAAACATTCAGGCCCCAAAGGTGGTTTTCCTGGATTCTGGAATTTTTGTGATGGGGCTGGAGTGGGTGTCCCCTGGTTTCTGGAACTTCAGAGATTTGAGAAGAGGGATTCCTTGTCTTCTGGAATTTCAGGAAAGGAGTGTAATTTTGGCTTCTTGGTAACAATTTCAATTTCTTAGGTCCTTTCTCCAAAGTTTAAAGTAAAAAAAAATACTAAATTGTCTGACAGGAGATGCATTGTAGTGAAACTGCTTTTTTTTCCCTAAATAAAAACTGAATGTAGCATATATAAATGTATTACTGTTAGTAATGTTAAAATAAAAATACAGTACACACTACTTTTATATACATAATGATGCTGAAAAAAATTGTTGAGTAAAAGGCTAAACGAATCAAGAACATGCAGATCTATGAACAATACAATACAACACAACAAAAGACAGCACATTTATACACTTAAAACACAAATAGTAAGCAACAATCTGCGCAATAATACCATGAGGCGAAGAGAACCAAAATTCTAACAAGTGGTCTGGTGGTAAAAATTCAAACAGAACTATCAGTAACTTTTACATGTTTGTATGAGTAAATTCTGGGAATATCACAGTATATAGCAACACTATAATTAAAGAAGAGCTCCAGGAAAAAAAAACATGTATTATGCCTTGCAGTGGAGCTACCCCTGCACTGCAAGGGTTAATTGCTCCTTTTTGTCTAGGTTAAAAAAAAAGGTTATACTCACCTGATGCTCCGAGTTGGCTTGTTCTTAGACCGACCCTTGGAGCCTCTCTCCCCCCTCCTCTGCAGCGGTCTAAGGTCCCGTAAATCATCACATTCTATAGACGTGAGGGTGCTGAGGAAGATTCCAATGCTGCATTGTAAGATGAGACAGGCTGTAGGGAGCGCTGTGACAGCTGGTCGGCTTGGAGCTTTGGTGTGAGTAAAACTTTTTGTTATTTTTGAACCAAGACAATGAGCACTTAACCCTTGTAGTGCCGGCGGTTTTCCTGGAATTGTTCTTTTAAAAAATCTTGTATCGTTAGAGTTAGATCTTTAGATTTGACCAGTTTTTTTATATCGCCACCTGCAGCAGTACAACGCTATGTGCAAACAAAAAGACAACTCGGCCGTGACGCCTCTTGTCTGCAGAAACCAGTTCAGTTTTTTTTCCCTAGCACTTAGGACCTAGATTTTTTTTTTTGCTGATCTTTTAGGCCCAGTTTTTTTTGGGTGACAAGCTGGATATATAGACCCTGGTTGCACACCTAACTGCCTGTGTTAGTACGGTCTCCCCCAGCCCCGCTTGAGTTCACATTTGAGGCCTTTCCAGATTATGGCAGTACCCACAGCTGCCATCTTTGTTTTGGGCACCTTCCCTTAAAACTTATTTTGCTGCCCTGTGGCTAGAGGGAAGCCTGAGAGCAGGCAGTGGATGGTCCTTTAGTTCTTGGAACACAGCCTATCCACAGCTCTAGTCAACAGCTCTGCAGTTGCCTGCGCTGCACAGTGCACAAACCACCTGGTGAGCAGTAAATTTTCTGTTCTGGGGACCAAATTTTGTCTGTTGCAACCTCCTATTTGGTGTGCGGTGCACATGGTATAAGGTGGACACACAGATGGCTGGGGACACGGGACAGGGCCTCTTTCCCACCCTGTGTAAACTATAGGCAATCTGATGATGCCTTCCTGAGTGATTCGCTATGCCCTGCCTGCAAATCTTCCCCTTTCCTTTTTAGCTTCCTTTCTGTTTTGACCTCTGACTCCATTCTACGATGGACAGTTTTATTTCCTGCAATGAGAGAGCGCTTTATCTCAGAAATGCTCTAGGAATCCTTCCAATCTTTCTCTGTCCTTTTCTGAAGTTTTTGGATATGGAACCTCCCCCAGGCACAAATCATGACCTTCCTGTAATGGCAGATCCGGAGCTCTACCTTTCAGGTAGTTTGGAGAGGGTGCCAGTGGCAAAACTGGCACAGGTGAAGGCATTTGTATTGGCTCTTATCAAAGCAGTGAAACAAAATTGAAGATTTAAGGAGACCTACTTTTTTTTCAAGGACTCCACTGGTCAGCTTGGAACCCACAAGTGCAGTCCTCTAAGATGTTTCTTATGATTCTTTCTTGGATTATTTACAAAGAATGGTCACGTCTGGTTCAACTGTTTATTTTGTGATATGCTATCCCTTTGAGGATGCGTTTGTTAAGAAATGCACTTCTCCAGCAGTTGTGAATCCCCAAATTTCCAGGCTTAATAAAGCCACTATCATTGCATTTGAGGAATCCCCTTCCTTTTATTGATCCATAGGGTTGTTTGGAGCCCTGATCAGACCAGTGCTGGCCTCTCCGACTGGGTTTATATATACACCGAGGCTTGGTTTTAAAGCAAGTTCCTCAAACTTTGAACTAGTTGGTCTGCCGACTTTACATAAGCCAAATATGTTTGTGATCAGAACAGTTGGTCTCTTCCCAGTCTGTCTTGGCAACTGTCTTTCTTTGCCTGCTGTGGCTTAAGTGCTGGTCAGCAGATCAAACATTCAAGAAAGTCTTAAAAACCTCTATGATTAAGCCCAGGTGGTGAAACGCGTAAGGTGTATGGTATGGGAAAGATAATTGGTGGTGTATATGCTTGGACTTTGAATTCACTTCAGAAAAATTGGGGGAGGGGAGTGCTGGACCAAGGAAAATTCCTGTCTACCTATCAATTTTCTTCAACTTCTGGCACTTTGGTTGTCCCTCTTACCCCAGATTAAATACTTTCAGGGACATCCAGTCCGAATACAATTAGGCAATGCCACAGATCCCTAGCTGGACAGATATGCTTTTTCTGTCATTCACATCCCAGGGGTGGAAAACTGAAAGGTGGATTATTTGAGCCATTAGAGTCTGAATCGGGAGAGTGGTCCCTTTCACCAACTCTGCCTTTGGTGGGGCATGCTGGATGCATATCTTATGTCAGACCTGGTACGCGGACATTTGGATCTTCTATCACCGACCCTGAGCTTCCAACCTACTGTACCGTGAGGAACCTCGTTTCCCTGTTATTCACTCTGCCAGAGCGTTGATCACATTCCGGGCTTTTCATCATTTCATAATCACGCCTCGGTTTCTCATATTTGGAAGACAGCTACCTGGTTGTTTGTTTTATACCCCTTACCAAGGTCTATAAAGTTGATATGGTTTCCTTGGGTACATTTTGCTGCTAACTGAGCTGTTTGTTGCAGATTGGGGTTTGGCCATAGCAAGAGCCACCCCTGGTTGTCTTTTTGTTTGTACCTAGCAGCCTACTCCTGCAGGTAGTGATATAACCCATCAGTCAAGATTTAAAGATCCAGCTGTGTTATTCAATGAGAAAATTAATTTAAGGGGAATACAAAATTCCTATTTTGAGGCTAGGTTCACCTTTTTAATTAGGGGTTCCAAAGGGATTGTTTAGAGTGAATCAGATTGCAGTTGATAAGCTGTGATTGAATAAGGCTACCATGTGGGGGTGTTTAGGAAGAATGGTGAATGGAACCGAAGCAGAGGCCAGTCTGAGCACATGACCTCTTCTCCAGTGACATAGCCATCAACATATTTCAAGGACTTCTCTCAGAATAGCTCATTAGAGGCAAAATGATGGCTTTCATAGGAAAACCAAGGGACCTCTATAGTATACAGAGCTCCCGCTAAAATACCTTTTGGGGTACAGGTTCTGCTTTGTGGGCTGCATCCAGAACTAAACTTGGCAAGCAAAGGTAAAGTTGTTTTGCTGACATTACAGACCAGGGTAACATATTCTTGCTAGTTCAAGCGACTTGGCTTGATGGTTAGTAAGAAAAGTCAGGTTGCTCCAAGCCCCAAATAAGAGATTGTTTGTTTGCATTGGCTGCTCTAGACTCGGCACAATCATTTTCATATTAATTCTTGACCTTCACTTTGCAGAGATACAAAGCCCTAAAGAATCGAATAACTTCCCAAGGGGGAGTTCCTTTAAATTCGGAGGATGAAAGAGAGAAAACAGCTAGCGTGATCAGTCACAGAGATGAAGACGTTATTACTCTGGCAGAAAAGAGCAATACTGTACCAGCAAAGCTGGCCGGCAAGAATCGAGCAAGAGAAATGATTGAAAGTGGTATTGAATATTCTAATGCAGATATTGTTGTGGGTACAAGTGAGGAAGATTCTGGGTACGTTATGGAACCAGAGTTGGCGCTGATCATAAGTGAACACTGTTCAGAGGGAGAAAAATCCACAGTGGACAATGAAACCTCCTATGGTGATGGCACATTGAGTCCCATCCACCACGAGCTCAGATAGGTCTACAGACTTGACTGCTGTAGCTTTTATTTAGCTATTCCCATGGGCCAAAGTGGTAGAGAGGGCTCTTCCTTTTGGTTAGTCCCAGTGAGCGATGACAAAACACAGACATTGTATCCTACAGATTACATTTCAGTACATGAAGGCAGTATTCAGTGTTACTGTGGCTTTTGGCTTTGTTATAAGGGTAAATCTGATATTGTTTTCTTCCTCTTCATGTGGAAGGTACGGTCACAATTCCTAGAAAGATAGGAAAAGGGTGCTGATGTAGGATACAAAAAATAAACTTGGCCTACCAGCTGTTTGGGGTTTTTTTTTTATATATATAAACTTAAATGTAATGTGTCCACGCATGCCCAGCTAAGGATATGTGTGCAGTGTGATATTAAGTGTGTATTAATCAGGCCTGATTGATTCCAGAGTGATGCTTGATAAAGAAGCACCACATTCCTAAGCAAGATACCTACTGCTGTTTTTAACAGGGAGCTAGAACAGTCTGCATGACAGTTAGTGATGTGTATATAGTTCAGAACAATTGGTAATTTTGGCACAGATTGTAAAGTACCAGCAGCCACTGGCTTTATTTGTTCTTGTTATTCAGATAAAAGATGTTTTTTTTCCATAATTTGTAGATAGGTTAGGATGTCATCTGTTCCTGGACATGAACGTCCCTCTGCCCACTTGCTGTCTCACATTTGCTTCTAATATCACATTAGATCCTAAACTATATATCGGATATAGCTGACAAGTTGTGGTAGAAGATGAAGGAAGTATGGCATTTTTTTTATTTTCTTTACCTTTGTCCACATAGACATGTTTTTGATCAACAGATTTTAGCCTCTAGGATGTGTTTGGGCATAAATTGAAGTGTTTAGTTAGGTCCTTACACTACAAGTGACACTCGAATAATTAGAATATCGTGCAAAGTTCATTTATTTCACTAATGCAACTTAAAAGGTGAAACTAATATATGAGATAGACTCATTACATGCAAAGCAAGATAATTCAAGCCGTGATTTGTCATAATTGTGATGATTATGGCTTACAGCTCATGAGAACCCCAAATCCACACCCTCAAAAAAGTAGATTATTACATGCAATCAATAAAACAAGGATTGTACATAGAACAATATCGGAGCTCTGAAAAGTACAAGCATGCATATGTACTCAGTACTTGGTTTGGGACCCTTTTGCAGCACTTACTGCAATTACTTTTGCACGATATTCGAGTTTCACCTGTATATCACGCAAAACAAATGTTATTGCTCTGAACGATCTGAATTGGACTTGCTGTCCAGCTTTTGCAACTCAATCAAGTCTGTCTGACATTTTGAATACATTGACTACTTAGGCACTTGCTTATAATTCTAAAATCAACTGCTTTAAATGAATGCAAAATTCATTTGTAAAATACTCTTCAAAGAAAAGGGGTTGTAGCGTTTTTATCAATTGGAAAAGTCAGTCTATAGATTTAGATACACATTAGAGAGATAAATCGCCCAGAGTGGTTCCATTAATGGGCAATACTGTGGGAATCGATAATATCCTATTAAAAAAAAGTAGGTCCCTTAATCTTTATATTATGCAGTTCTTAATAGACTTGAAATTGTAGCAGTGCTTTTGGTGACTGGCTGCAGTACCCCATCTTTGCCTGTAGATGGTACTGTGTGACATGTACAGTAGTTTGGCTGCTTTATACCAGGTGTAAGCTCCAATATTGCACTGGATAGAATTCTGGTACATGCTTGCAGATTCCGCTGTTCCTATGGATGAAGTAGTTATGCATCAGTCTACAAAAATATCCATACCCAGCTGGCTGCGGCCCTAAAAGTGGATTCTCACATATAAATACATTGCACAGTGTGTATAGGGGGGTGTCACCTGTAGAGAGTCGGCTCATGATAAAGCTATCATTTTATCCATCTAAGTCTAAAGTTTTTGGATACTGTATATTCCAATCAAGCTATTCCTGAAACACCCCTGCACTCTACAGTGCCTATTGTAGTGTGGCATGCATTACCTGTCTTGCAGGAGGAAAGCGTAATAGGTTCTATACACAGTGCATATTAGGGTTGGTGTATATTGCTTCTTTTGGTAGGGTAGGATGGGAAATCTCTTGAGCTCTTAGACCCCAGTTGTCAGATTTGGACACTCTGACCACCCTCAGTTGAATACAGCTGTGTTAATAATGCATTCATACCACGCTAGTACTAGTAACTTGCAAGTAATGGAGCTTAAATGATGAACTATGCAGTAGATTCGGTCTCTGGCCCATGTTGGTACAAAGGACACCTGAACTGAGAATGGATTGAGGCTACTAATGAGAATAAATACTAGTTCCCTGGTTGTCATTCTGGTTCAGTGGCTTTAATACTTCCTAATTTCCTGATCTACATGCTTGTTTGAGATCAGTGTCTTAAATGTTTTCAAGCCAGAGACAGCCAGGCAACTAATAATTGCAGAAGGTCAGTTGGCAATGCTAGCCTCAAAATCCTCACTACAGGTTTCTTTTAAAAACTCAAGAGCGCCCTTGTATTAGAGAACTCTACTCCCTCCTATCGGAAAACTAGTAGCGTTTGATTCTTAGTACTATACAAGGTGATACAGCCTTATTGGCTCACAGTTCATACTGGTTACATTTAAGTTCCAGAGAAGTAGAAGACAAATTCACATACTTGCGGGTTGTACTGCCTCTGCATCTCACTGACATAATGTAATGGAAAGGCTGACCTGCAGAAGAGACTGCACCAAGTCATGGTGTTTGTCAGAGGATGATGAGCTGCTTTGAGGTCTATAGGGGCAGTGTTGACACTGGTTAGAAATTTCTTTATCCTCTACTGTTGTAATTTAGGATGTATTCTTCCTTCTGTGCATGAAACATGTTAGAGGCCCTAGTACAATGTACTGTTAAAGGGTCACTGGTTCCAACTTCTAATGTATGGCTCTAGTGCAGAGTAATTTGTAATAATATCAAATTAAACTAGTATTAAAAGTACACTTAAAGATGTTTAACCACTTGATGACCGAGGTGTTACACCCCCTTCCTGCCCAGGCCATTTTTCAGTATTCAGCGCTGCAGTACTTTGACTGACATTTATTCCGTCATGCAACGCTGTACTGAAATGAATGTTATACCATTTTTGGGGGACACATAGAGCTTTCTTTTTTAAGTGGTATTTAATCACCACTGCGTTTACTATATAACAAAAAAGTACCCTAAATTTTGGAAAAAAAACACCCTGTTTCCCTTTGAAATGTTATGAAACATTTATTATCAACCCAATTTTTTGGTAAAATATAAAAGACGGGGTCACGTCGGGTAAATAGACACCAAACCTGTCATGCTGTAAAATTGCGCACGCCTGTGAAATTGCAGAAAACCGCACCCAAAATTGGCCATAGGCGATGCTTTAAAAGATTTTACCCTTATCAGTTTTGTGTTATCAGTGATTGATGGCCCAAGAATGATTGTGGAATCATAGTTTTTGCATGTTGGTGTACCTGACCCATGTTTGCCAGGGATGGGGTGGGGGGACACCCCCAGAGAATCTGAAGAAGCAGAGATCTGCTTCAGCAGCTTCTCACTGGCATCCGTAACTGGAGAGTGACACTGAATGCAGGAAGTGATGTAATATACATCACTTCCTGCATTTGGGGACCGGAAAGGAGATCAAAGGGAGATTGTATACTGACCTCCCTTTTCCATCGCCATTGACAGTCGCTGTGCCGGTCCCAGCGCATCAAGGGGGGGGGGATTTGGGGGCGTGCGCCCGATCGCTTGAATAAACAGCCATCCATCTATGGCTGTTTACATTTGGGGGGGAGGGGAAGGACGTCTTAAGGCTCCCGTCTGGCCGTTCAGGAACGGCCATGGATCGGAGATGGTTATACTGCATGTCACATTTTCTCCGTTCTGGAACTCACAGGAACGTGCCAAAACGCCCCACTCCACACAAATAAAAAAGGAACTGGAACGCATCTGCAGATCTGAGACCAGAAAATGGTGTGAACAAGCCTTAAGTGGATAGGGAATAGTTCCCTTTTAGAAGTTATTGGGACCTTGTACACAGACTAAAATGTTTGGTACCCAAGCCCTCAGTATGCACACCTCTAATTTTACGTTTAGTAAGCTCATTTTACAGAAAGCCTGTGAGGTGAGAACTACTTCTTTCCCTTAAGCAATCCATCAACTTGATTTAGCTTTAAGCTAACAAAATCAAATGATAGAGAATGGAAGGGAGAATTTAGCTGCCCTAGGACAGTAGTCACCTTGAGAACAAGGCCATATATCAGTCACTAAACCTAGCTTCAGTGCCCTTATGCTTTGGTTTCCCCTTGAAAGCCTCCTACTTGCAGGCAATGCATGTTTCACTTAAAGTTGTTTGGGATAACTGTAAGAGCTCTTTACTTTTTGGTCCATATACAACTTTTTTAAGAAACAAACTTGTCATTTTTAAACATTTTTAGTATAATAAAAATTGTAGTGAAACAAGATTTGTGTTGTTCTTTCTATTGGTTTAAATGTCCTGCATGTAATATATGTAGATCTGCTTTTTGCTGTGGTATTGGAGGCCTCATCCATACTCTGTGTAGTTTAATTAAAGTGGAGGTCAGAAGGCCTCTTAAATGGCCACATGCACCCACCCTATCTATGCAATCTACTGCAGCCATATTCAGCAGAGCATGGGGTATGGTGGACAAGTCAGCTTCCTGAATCCAGTGCTGTGTGATTTTTTTTTTTGTGTGTCTGGGGGGCTAAATGCAGCTTTCATTTTTATTTTTTTACAGGTGCATTCCACTTACATTTGACTACCTAAGCTGCATCAACCTACTTTTTGCATTGCCATGAAGTTCTACTATGGCAGTGGTTCTCAACCTTTCTAGGGCCGGGACTCCTTGGTAACATTTGCCAAGTTGTGGTGACCCCCAAAGGTAAAATTTAGGGATGACGCGGCTGCTGCAGCGACATCTGGAGGCGTGGCGGGAGAACTGACACTGCTGCGCTAGGAG